CCCAAATTTGTCTCCCTTGTATAGTCTCAATATCATCTGACTCATTCAAGATGGCCCGTTTTATCTGGAACGTACTGTATATAATTTTTTACTGGGAATTTCTTATTTAGCAGAAACATATTCAAAGTCACCAAATTTTTACTTACAGCCACCATGAAGGTATCAATTTCTTCCCTGATATCTTCATACGTCAGCGTGCCTCTTTCACTTTCCTCCAACAATATATCCATCAGAGCAGCTTTTTTTTTTATCCCAAAATCGTTTTCAGTACCAACTTCTTTTCTCTCTTCTTTGAAAGTTTTGCTTCGTCTTTCGATGACATCAAGCGTGAACTTCTTCAGCGTACCGACATAGTCCAAATAGATTTTGCTGTGCTTGGAAAACATAAGAAAGATCGTTTCGAATCGTTGCCAAAAGGAGAAGAATCTCACGCCGACTATTCGTAACATCACTTTAGTTTTTTCGATATATTCTTCTTCCGCTGCATTTTCTTCCGGTTTCAGTTTGATACCCATGAGATTTTCTAAAAAAAGGATAGAAAATTTTATTTCAAGGCTAGAGCCCTTTTGAAAAGATCAAACGAAAACCTAAACTACCCAAATCATAAGGGAATACTTGTAATATGTTGGAATGAGAAGAATGATTTGGCCTCCCAGAACCAATTGTGATAGGGAACGTGATTCGAAAACCGAACAGTGAGAATGAGTATTACTGGAGTTTTTCCCCAACACCAAACCATTATTTCAACACCTCGACACGTGTTTCGATCACCAAGTAATCACCATAGAGAGGACTGGATCCACCGGGAGGAGGAAATATTGAGAGCAGATAGTTGTTGATTCACATATGGATCAAAAACACCTTTCAGTTCTGGTGCAGGTGTTTTCAGACGCAGACCGAGGACAGAGATATCAACCTGCCTAGGAACCCATGCGACTATATTTCAAGCGGAAAGTTACGTTTTGAATTATATGCAGAGAGATTGGAAGAATCCAACCACATACACAAGTCCATAAAAATATTCTCGGACAGTCAAGCGGCGTTGGGAGCTCATGGCTTCTACCGAGCAACGTCTAACTTGATAGCAAATTACCAAAAACGACTCTCCTCGATAAGATTCCTGGTCATACTGGCCTAGAAGTCAATTAGGCTGCTGACTCCGTTGCGAAGGAGGGTGCTGCAAGCAGCTTTATCGGACCAGAACCTGTCATTGGCATGGCTTAAGTCTTTGCCAAACAAAGATTGAACACCTGGATGGCAAACAGATTTATGGACTTCTGGCAAAATCTTCCAGGATAGGCTCACTCTAAGGCGTTTATTCCCCCTTCGAAGCTTGATACCAAACAGTTGTCGGACTACAGTAGGAATTAACTACGATGTCCAACAAGCCTTCTTACAGGTCACTGTCATTTGAATCATTATATGCAGAGACTCGGACTGTCGGAAGACAGTGTGTGTCACCTCTGTTTGGAAAATGATGAAACAGTAGAGCACATAATTTGTGCCTGCCCCGCTGGGGACAGAATCAGGTTTTAAGAGTTTGGCAGAGCCGTACTATTACCATCTGACCTGAAAGACCATTCACCATACAAACTAATCGTCTTCGTTAAGAAGCTGGGTTTATTTGGTCGAGTGTGAATAGGTGTAAGCCACAATAAACCCTTGCGGGTTGCGGTGGAGGGTCGAATAGACCCACTCACTTCGGACCTAACCTAAGAAATATCGGTTTGATCTTTCTCTTGGTGATCGAAACACTTGTCGAGGTGTTAAAATCACAGTTTAGTGTTGGAAAAAAACTCCAGTAAGATTCATTACTACACCAAAGGTTTCGAACAGTGCCTCACAAGTATTGACAATGAGTTCAATAATATCAGAAAATGAAATTACATAATGAAATAATGGAAAAATTCACATGGCGTTTTGAAANTCGACTCGTTCGACATATTATAATTGTGAATTTAAAAACCTACCACAAGCAATTTCCAGAGCAGAAAAGTTGGTATAATTCAATATATCGGTACAGTCTTTTCCTGATTCTTTTTCTAGATTCTTCACCAAAGCGTCACTTGCGCTGTTGAAAACTTGCATGAATCTCTCCATGAGGTTCATGTTGAATGACTGGTTTATCATTTTCCTCCTTTCTCTCCATTTGTCTCCTGAAACATAAATACATATTTGTGAGAATCAGTTCGACGATTTCATGAATAATTTAGTATCAAATAGAAGTTCACCCCTGAAGAGTGTTATATCAGGAGTACCTCAAGGCTCAATTTTTGGTACTCTCCTATTTTTGTTATACACTGCAGACATTTTTTCTCAAATTAAACATTTGCGGATGATATGCAGTTATATCATAGTATCGCAAAAAATAAATGATGACTTCGAAAGTATAAACATTCTATCGAACAAACACAATTGGAAACTGAATCCTGGTAAATGCCATGCCATGTTGTTCGAGAACATAAACCAAAGAAAACATGTTGAAGATCATATGAAACTTAAGATAGGTGACCAAATACCCAAATCAGTTGATTCTGCAAAAAACTTACACATCACTTTCGATGAAGAATTAAAACTTAACGCATATGTAAAACAGCTTATGATTAAATCCTATGCCCCTCTCAAAGTACTTTATCCACATAGACAAAGCTTGTCCTCTAGTACAAAAAGCTACTTTCCCAATCGCGTATCCTATCAATCATCAAATATAGATACTTTGTCTTAGATTTGGCTCATCAATATAAAATACAACGTGTGCTAAATTCTTGTGTTCGGGAATATGTAAATTTCAACATATTTCCCAAGCTCATGCAAACCTTGGTCGGGTATCAATGTCCGTTCTCAGAGAATATAACTACTGCAACATCACTTATTCAGTACTGACATCTAAAATACCTGAACCTCTATTCAATAATTCGACATTCCCTCAACCGTCGAACTAATCAAAATCTACACATCCCTCGTCATTCGTCAGCCACGTTCAGAAAATAATTTTCATTCCTAGCTGTATTAAAGATCTCATGCAATTCTTGAAATTCACATTTCATAAGAAACTAACGGCAAAATTCAATATGTGATCAGAAGAATCAAATTATTTTCATTTTGAATTGTGTTGCTTCTAATAATTTGTTTCATCAAACAATCTATATTTTTTTGTCAATTTACTCTCTTTACTTATAATGCATATTAGGTTAAGTATAAAAGTAGCTATAGCTAAACTTCGCCTATTATGTAATATCGAATACTAAATAAAATCGATTATTATTATTATCATTAAACAGTAAACATACTGTTGACAATCAAACAGAAAGAGAGACGAAAAATGATTTACTGAACTTAGGGATGCGAAAGACGATAGAATATTGCATTATTTGACNATTGTGGCCTTGCAGTTAAAGCTGCAGTAAAACAGAGAGGGCAAATCTCGTCGGCGGTCGATACTAACTACTAACTTGCAACTGATCGCCTTCGGGACCACGTTCATTTTGAATATTCGAGAACTGAGTTCTTTATTGATCCAGTAGATGGCATCTTCGTAAGGGGAGATTTCATCACCTTCATTCAATCAGAATTATTTCTTAAGGACAGTTGAGTCCAGCAATGCATTCATGGCTCAGCCTAGCACCACTGACGAGACTTATGGTGGGTAGAAAAAACGATGTCTGGTGTTGGGCTCTAGTTTCCAACGATATAACTGTCCTGGACTGTATATCTTTCTTCATTATTCGTATTTTAGTTATTTTCACTTCAGGTATATCTTGCATGAAAATTCTTTTAGGTTTCAAAGGATGGTGGTTTCCTCTGCAACCTTGGATCAGAACTTCACCATGTGGTCTCTGAAACTCCAACTCTCAAGAGCACCCTTTAGCTCGACATCCGGATGTATCCCGAGAGAAAAATTTATGGGAGACCTGATTCCAAAAATTATTCATTCAAATACCAGGAAGAATGAATTCAAAGAAGAGTTCATTGAACTGAGTTAGAATACTAAAACTCAAGTTACTAGAAAGCAGACGTGGGCTACTCCATTCCAAAGGAAGCTTTACTCCAGTAGAGCCAGAACCAACACATGAAGAGCAAGTGAAATGAAACCACGATGTTTAGAAACAATGAACAACCCCTCTTGGCTCTGATTTTAAATAGGTTGCCTTCCAACAACAGGTAAACTTCATCGACATTCGGAAAATTTGTTACCTGCCCAATTATATCCAGATAAGTCTTGAAACAAATCTTTATATAAAGGTGAAGATGAAGAAATCGGAGACCGCATGTTGTTTTCAAGATTTGTAACTTCACTTTGTTGAAGTTTGGGAAATCTGATTTGTTAATTGCTGATAGGTAGGATAAAATCTTGAAGTTTGTAGGTGAGATATTGCCTAGGCTATTCCACCTAAGTGAAACTTTCTTTGTAGTACCGTATTGTTTGGTAGTAAAGGTAGTATAAAATACTCATGTGAGTGAATTAACCAAGAAAATATTTTGCATTATTTGACAGAATTCAGTAGTCTGTTTTTCAACACTTTCAGTAATCACTATCATAAAATTGTTGATAATGAACATAATCAAAGATATTCAAGGACATGAAAATCCAAACGATATAAACAGAATCAATATTCAA